TACTGGCTGGTTAGACACATAAGTAGGTTAAGAATAAAATGTGTGAAAGGGTGTATGGACCTGCTGGAACAAGGATAGAAAGATCGGAAGAAGTATAACGAATAGTATAGTAAATGGTAAACAGGGCTGTGTCTTTTTTTCTTATCGCTTGCCTTTAATGTATTTGGATTACTGCCTCTGTCTTCTTTTTCTGCGTGCTGCATAATGTTGCCTAGTCAAAGAAATAGGGTGACGAGAATGTACACGTGTGCAGAAGTCAGTGGAATCATAACTTATGTAGAAAACAGAGGCACTGTGGTAAATGTTCAGTGGGTGGCTGGTGAAGGACATTGCTTATTGGTTCAGGAAGGAGGCAAATAATTTAATCAAGGCCAAAGTACCCATTCTCAGTTAAATTTAAATAAGTTGGACACGGCTGCATTTCAAAGATTACTTGTTATCTTATGTTTGTTTTGCGTGTTTTAACACAAATGCCGTAATTGGAGCACTATAAAGTGCTCTTAAGATATAGTCCTATGGTAGGATGAATTCCAGAGGCTTTTTTAAAATAAATAAACTGCCTCCTGTGGTTTATTTATTTTGACCAAGGAGCAAATATCCTCTGGCCTTTGGCTGTCTTTTCAGGGGAATTGTAGCATTGTACTATTAAGGGCTGCAGAGAAGAGAAATGGAGGCCAGTGAACATGGCTTCTTTCTTCTCTTGTTGGTCTGCAGCTGCTGGGATTTTAGGCTCAGAGAGATTTTGACCAGTTAATCATGTTCTGCTTAAATGCATTGGTTGTACTGGAATCGAGAATATACAATTCTGGATGGAGATTTCAAAGAGAGCAAGAGTTTTATAAGCAATTAAGAGAAGTAAAGGTACTATAGATCTTTTTTCTTTTCCTGGGAGAAGAGTGTTTTGAAAGAATGATCTGATCCTTAAAAAGTGGATTGTTTCTTTGGTCGGAGAAGGGCTATCGTGCCCTTGAGTCTTATTTATTTTCTAAAAACGTTCTTAAATAACGGTCTGTTACTAGTTTAAAAATCCCAGAAATCATTTCCAGTTTCTGTTATTCTAGTTCCATATGCCTTAAACCCATTTTTGTTTCATGCGAATGCCAGTGTGGGTACTTACCTGACAATTTGAGATAGTCACAATTTTAGTATCATCTAAATGTCTTTGTATTTGAACAGGAGATCCATGACATGCAGAAGGAGCAGGTCAATGAATTTGTAAAAATACTGTCTAAGGTGGCATGCAGACCCCTCTCTGTGGGCATGCGCGCCATCGCCCCAGTCCTAAGCTTTCAGTTAGGTTTTATAAAACCTTTTCGCTTTAGGCCTCCACCGCTGTGTGCAAAAAAAAAAAAAGGTTCAATCAATCAATCAATTTCAACTTGCGGGGAAAAAAACATATCGCAAAGTTGGAATTGACTGATTGCACTTTTTAGTCCCACCCAGTCTGCCTTTACCACTGCAGCCATATCCACCCAATGGACCACACCCACCCAATTGGCCACACCCACCCAATTGGCCATGCCCACCCAGCACCCGACGATACATAAGTGGGTTTTGGGTTGCAGTTTGGGCACTCGGTCTCTAAAAGGTTTGCCATCACTGGTCTAAGGAAACAGTTAGCATGGGTGGACATTAGCACAACAGTTTAAATCCTATAAAGAGGTAGATGAACTACAAGCAGATAAAGGGTCAAAACATACCTCTGCCTGCCCTCCCTCTAATGCACTAATTTTCACTAATGAGTCTTATGCTCATAAATATAGCTCATCACATGCATGTTTATTTGGAAACAAGCCTTTGCATTCAGTGAGGCTTACTCCGCAGTGTTGAGGATTGATCCTTTAAGATGTAAAACTCAATTCTAGTATGTTTTATGTAGCCATGTTAGTATTCTCTTATTGCCAAATCTTTCCTACCAAAAATCAACAGGTTTTGCAAATCTCATGAACCTTGGANGTCGCCAGCCGACATTGCTTGGCCGACGGCACCCTGAGGAGACCCACTCTGTGGGAGCGTACCGGTCTATGGGAGGGAATCTGTGGCAGAAGGCGGTCTCGGAGATAACCAGGTCCGATGCCATGGAGCGCTTTAAAGGTGGTAACTAACACCTTAAAGCGCACCCGGAAGGCCACTGGCAACCAGTGCAGCTCGCGCAACAGCGGTGTTACATGGGAGCGACGAGTCCCTCCCAACACCGCCAAGCTCCCTAACCATTTCAGGTTAAGCAGCAAAGACTGCTGCAATTTCTGTCCATTTTCACTTGAACATAAATAAAAGTTGCCACGCAGTCAGGAATCTTGCTTTCTTAAGTAGAAAGAATATTTTATTTTATTCCTCCTATTAGTGTTGATGTATTGTATTTATCCTAAGACCTGAATACCAGTGTAATATGTGTTTTCTGTTAAGTAAACCAATTGCACATTAGTTTGAACTTGTTATATATTTTGTGCTTCAAAGGAAAGCCGGCTATTTCACACAGAGACTTGAAATCTAAAAATATTCTAGTCAAAAGGAACGAAACCTGTGCTATTGCTGACTTGGGGCTAGCTGTGAAGCATGACTCTGTATTAAATACAATTGACATACCACAGAATCCTAGAGTAGGAACCAAGAGGTAAGACAGACAAAAAAGTAAAGTTTTTAAAAATTGTGATATGAGCATAAAACTGAAACTGTATTGGACAGATGATCTCTTGTAAATTGCCCCTCTTCATTTCAGTGATAGGTCCCCAGATTTGTGCAGTCTTGTCAATCATTCTCTAATTTTGTTTTTTAACTTTGTTGTTGAGCATTTTTAATTATCACATGATCTATAGCCCTACACGTCTGGACAAGAAAGAATCAAACTACTGATAACTTCTCCTTGTGATCCTTCAGAAACTACTTTTGTATGACTCGGTCTATTGTTTTGCCTTGGTAAACTCTATAACCTCTTGAAACCAAATAAGGCATTTCCTTAAATAAAAGTTATGGATTGTGAGGAGCTGTAGGGTTTATTTTTCTCCAGATCTCAGGAGCAAAAACAGAACTGTAATTTATTATGGAAGGAACATTATTGCTCATTGCTGGGTATATCCTATCAAAGCAAATTGAAGCTTCTGAGAGACAATTAGGTGAATGAATCAACCTTCCTATGTCCATTTGAAAGTAATTGAACTTATTGAAATCAAGTACATTGAACATGTCTCAAATTGACCTCCACCTAATGTGAGAGTGCATATTTTGTTTTGCACTGTGGTAAATTGATGATTAATGCTATATTTGGGAACCATTTGTTCCTTTCCTATGTGTGTGATTCAAATTGATTATAGGGAAACTGCTAAAGTGGGAGGATTTGGGGGGAAATATGAATAATATTTTGAATCTTTCCTCTCAAATACGTTCACTTACTTAAGGATATCACATGTATTATCCATTTGGATTATCCTTCCTTTAATCATGCTGCTGAATATTGGAAAGACTAATTAAATTCTCATTACCTGTGAAAAACAACTTGTAATTTTCCTTTCATCAACAAATTTATGAATTTCACTGTCTCTGTGTTTGAAAGGTACATGGCTCCAGAAATACTTGATGATACAATGAACATAAATAACTTTGAATCTTTCAAGCGTGCAGATATCTACTCTCTTGGACTGGTGTATTGGGAGATATCCAGAAGATGCTCAGATGGAGGTATGACCCATGTCTCTTATTAAGACTATTTACACTTAACCAAAACTTTTGCTTCTTACTGAATTTTTTTATTCATTTTGGACATGATGTATTACATTTAATTATACAAAAAAGTATAACCTGTTTTAAAGAGCTTTTAAAATAAAAAGAAGTATATTTTTAAAAAATCTATCATTAAGACATATTAAAAAGCATAAATGGGGTAAATACCAAAATGAACATTTAATTAACTGAGATAGAAATAGAATCAAAAAGATAAATGTTTTTAATTTTCAGAAGCACATAGAATGAGAGCAAGGCAACTCTTATTCAAAACAGTTCAGGTGATTTCAAATCTCAGAGAAGTAAATTCTGACAACATTGATTTGAACACTAAGGGGAAATAATCTTTTATATTACTATTGTCAAGCTATGAAACCTACTGCTTTTAGGACTGCTGCGTGCTTCTAGCTTGCCTACAGAGCAGGGAGGGAGACAGGGAGAACTTTGGATCCACAGGTGTTCTTATCAGCATGAGAGCCAAAAAGTTGTTTTGGCAAACTAGAGTATCTTCTCATAATAATTAGTGGGAGATGTACTGGACAATGTGACCTGAACTGTCAGAGAGGGGAGGAGAAGATTCATTCTTTCAATTAACTGCTTCCAGCCATTTCTTTAGAGCTAACTTTCACTTTAATCCTATCAGTATAATATTGCTCAATAAAGTTTACATTAGAGAACACAATGGCTCTGGTATTTTTCTTAGTTGAGCTTTTCAGCTGGAGCTTGACAGCTATTACTTTTCTGAATTTGGACAATAGGGATGGACACTTTCTGAAATTCATGATCTTTGTCTATGAAATTTCTCAATCATCCAGGCAATGGTGGTCCTAAAGGTGCTTTTCCCAAAGGCAACCGGACTTTTTTGGATTTTTTTTTAAAACTTTTTGCTTCTCATCCAAAAAGCTTCTTGGTTCTAAAACTGAATTTAGAACTGAAAAAGCTTCTTGGATAAGAAGTGAAACATTTTCAAAGGAAAAAAACCAAGAAACCCTTGCCTTTGGGAAAAAAAGTATCTTTAGGATATAATCTTTGAAGAGGGGCTTCTGGTTTTGCGCAGTAGCATAGCAACCGAGGGGCTCCGCACCCTACGGCCAATTTTTTCCTGTTAGGGGACCCTAAATAGGCCTAAAGTTGCCCCAGAGAGGCAACAAAGAAGGAGGGGAACCCCGTTGACTGCAGAGAGATGGCGGTCAATCCGGTCATTTGGGGAAAGCCCTCCAGAAACCAGGCTAGCTTCACTCCAGAGTCTAGCCCAAGCTACAAGCAGCCAAAGCCAAAAGTACTAATTTAAGCTTGATCATAACATGGGTGGGACTGGGTAAGAATATTGATTCTCTCTCTTCTACTTGATAATTGATTTCCTGGGAAAAAAAAACCCAAGAAGCAAAAATCCTCCGAAAGTGAGAAGGAAGGGGACTCTTGCCTCACCCTCCCACAGAAGGAAGCAGCGAATTAAACATTTATGGGGGACAGAAATATATTGAAGTGAAATGAATATAAGACTTAAATCTGGATAAGTTTGAAACTGGTGGAATTTCTTAAGATTTTCTTTTCAAAAGAATTTTGATGAAAACAAGAAAGTAATTGCTTGTTTTGAAAACTGAAAAAGGAACTGGCGTTGACATCTAGTGGTGGATGAAAATATACAAATGTAGTTGCTCTAATACAGAAATTGGCAGAAAGCCCAGAAAAAGATAACTTGTTTTTGTGACCTTCAATGTCTTAACTAAACAGAGAACAGCTGCAAAAAAGAAAAGAAAACATTTTGGGCTACCTACAAGGCGAGAATTATAAACCCTAGGGAAAAAAATTGACCTTCCTGGATTATAAATATCTATTGAACTGTGACTCTAAAGCTGTTTGCAGAGAAAGGAAAACTTTGTTTTTTTGCTATCATGGAACATCAAAGATCTGCAGAAAGAACATATCAAGAAAAAACAAATACTTTCCAGGAGGAAATGTATACTATGTTGCAACTAATTCAAATGACAATGATTTCAAACCACGAGGAAATTAAAAACAACTTTGAAAATATAAATGAAAACATCTTCAATTTAACCTTGCAACAAAAAAAATCTCAGAAAATAAAAATAGAGAGTGATCAGATAAAGCAGAGAACTGAAAATAAACCAGAAGAAAGAGATTTAAAGATGGAATCCAATGATGGAAGGAATTATGACTTAACCCAGATGGAGAAAAATTTGCAGGGAATATCAGACATGGAAAAGATAACTTACACTTAAAGATTGCAAAATAAGTCTTGAGGACAAGAAAAAAGATTCAACAAAATGGATTATAGAGCTGTCAGAACTATGAGAACTTGAGAGACAAAAAATGATAAAAGAAATTAAGAGAAAGAGAAAGAAAAAGATTTTCAATGAATACGAAGGGGCGAAACCCTCCCACAAAAACATCTTACTGGATTTGTCTCTTGTACTTACAACAACATCTACAAGACTATGGGAAGAAAGACTTTTTGGTCCAACAGATTAGGAAAGATGTTTGGCAAAAAAAGAGAGGCTAAAGCTAGAATTAAGAAATTAGATGATGGGATTTATCAGATAGAATATCTAAAGCTTAAGCACTTGCTTGAATATGGTTAAAAAAATAGAAAAATTCTGGATATAAATGTATCTTAGCTTAAGAGGTATATGTTTCTCAAGTAGTATACTATTTCCTTCTTTTTTCTTCTCTTTTTTGTTGCTTTTTTTAAGATACGAGAAATGTAAAATTGTTGGGATGGCTTGTATGAGGAAAAAGACTTAAATACTTAAGTATAATTAACTGAGAAAATCTTAACTGTTAACAATGTTTTGAATATTGCGGGGAAAACAAATCTAAATAAGAACTTTGAAAATAGGATCTATGATGAGGTAATTAAGATGATCAATTAGAAAAGAAGCTTTATATTGATGTGGTTGTTAAATACTAGAAAAATGTTTATATTCACTTATTATCTATCAAAATACTAAGAAATGTACTAATTCAAGGTTAGTAAAAGAAAATATTATTGGAAGAAGAGAAAATAAAAGAAAGCTACTAGGTAGATTATGGAATTATAGAAATTAATTGTTATTGATTGTTTTTTAAATATAAACCCAGACAATACGATGTTTACCAAATGTTAAGGTGACTATGTTAAAAAAGCAATAATTTTTTTTTTTTTTTAAAAAAGGATATACCGTAATCTTTGAAGAATACAAAATTTGCTTAAGAGAGTCAGTTTGGTGTGCTGGTTATGGTGCCAGGTTAAAACTAGCTGGGTGACCTTGAGGCAATTGTTATCTCTCAAACCTAAGAAGAAAGTAGCAACAAACCACTTCCAAGCATCTTGCTGAGAAAATTGCAGGGGGTTAGTCCAGGCATTCGCCAGGAATCAATACTGACAAAAAGAAACAAAATGAAACTGGATTACATTTAGAAACACAGTTCTGAAATGTTCTTGTATAAAATTCTTTTTCTGGTTCTTAAAACACTTCTACCATCAATGTCTGGAAGATCTCTTCCTGTCCCCCAAATATTAAATTCTAACATTGTAGAATTAGATATAGATTCCCATAAAAGATTTGCGATCTCATGTTATGTTACCTTATCAATAGGGTCTGTTATTATTGCTGTATACAAATGAATCTTATCCTTCTTCTCTCAGACCATATCACAATTTGGTTAATCATCACCTTTTTTTTTTTTTACTTTACATAAGAAGGATTGGTAGGGAAAAATATCTGTCAAATTCAGGATCTTGTCCATGCTATAGATTTAAATGAAGATAGTTTCCAGTTATTTTTAATTTGAGCCTAATGGCTCTAAACATTCTGCTTTTATAAGCTTATATTGTGTATACCTCTACAAAAAGTTAATATTTTGGTATTGAACAATCTTTTGAAAGAAAAACAGGTGTTGATAGAGAAACCATTCTCTTCCAAGCAACTGTCTCCAGTTGTGTTCAGAAGTAGAGGTCGGCATTTCCCCAAGGAGGTCAGGAAATTCTAACTCCCATCATGTTTGGACATTCCAAGTTATGGACAAGTTTGCAATAGAAAGTTGCATTAGGAAGTTGTTAACTATTACAGTTACAAAAGTTCTAAAACCTGTTTCCTACAATATTTGAAACGATACTAATAAATGTCTATTTGTACCTCATTACTTTCTTAGGAATTGTAGAGGAGTACCAGTTACCTTATTACGAAGCTGTGTCTTCTGATCCTTCAATAGAAGAAATGAGAAAGGCCATCTGTGAACAAAAGCTGAGGCCAAATATTCCAAATCAGTGGCAAAGCTGTGAGGTAACATCATCACCTTCATATAATATATATATGTATAATATAATATGAAATATATAATATAATATACATATATATAAATTTTCAATATTTTCTAATGGTGTAAAAGAGACACAGTATAAAGCAGGACTTAAGTCTGGGTGCCTTATACCTTCACATTCCTAAATTTCATCTAGAATAAGAAAGTGCTAACCTATCTAGAGGCACCAGGTAGCTGAACAGGGAAATGAGGATATGGACAATTGGAAGGAAGGACAATTGGAGGAGACAGGAGGACACACTATCTTTTTAACTTTCCTTACAAAACTAAAAGTGAAAAACTGCAAAAAAAAAAAAAAGTACTTGGGCCTACATCAGTGGTGGGATTCAAATATGTGAATAACCAGTTCTCTATCTGGATGCCGCTTCCGGAAGTCTGTTCTGGGCCTGGGCAACAAAAAAATTAGCTACCGATTCTGCTGAACTGGTGCGAACCGACTGAATCTCACCACTGGCCTACATGTATATGAAATTTCTTTTTCCAACATCAGAAAGGCTGGTTTTTCAAGGAAGACAGTTTACTAATGTGGTTAGGCAGTGCGTAACTGATGAAGATCTTGTCAATTTCAGGCAGCTGTGCAAGTCCCGGGAGAGTGTTAATCAACCAATTAAGGTCAGAGGGCAGAACTTGTTAACTTATTGGTAGCACTTATTAGGGGACTGTGCTGCACTGAAAAGAAAAGGTGCTCCAGAAGAGATATCTTGTAAGATACTCAGAAAGCTGGACAATATTTGAATTTAAGATAGATGGAGGACACAAGGAGAAAAAGGACCAGATGTGGCTAAACAGCAGCTCTCAGCACTTGTTACTAGGAATTCCCTAGGAAGGTGTTCCTAGCAAAAACTGAAATGCTACCAATTGCCTGATGATAGACATAACCCTTTTCTGTTCATGTCCTTCAGCCATTGGTGTTACAAAGCCAATTGGAGATATGGCTAGTGCTTACTTGAGTAAAAGCTTGAGTAGAAAAGGAGTATAAATTGTATCAACAAATACACAATAGTAATAGTGTTTTCCATGAATTTGTCCTTTTAAAGCCATCCTACTGGATGACCATCACTACATCATTTAAATAGCAGCTTATCGACTTGCAAAACTCCTTTTAATTTTTTCAGTGTGATGTATGAATCTGGACATGGATCCAAAGATATAGGTCAGTGGTGGCGAACCTATGGCATGCATGCCAGAGGCGGCACTCAGAGCCCTCTCTGTTGGCACACGCGCCATCGCCACCAGCAGCAGGTGCATTAGACCACCACTGCCGCCCGGCGCAGGAGCCCCGCCCAGCACAAAGGAGGCGAAGTGGCCAACTAGCAAGCTCAAATAGAGGTGGTAGAGCAGAGGTCACCAACCATTGTTGATTGGTGGACTGGAAGAAAAGGGAGGGGGAAGCATTTTACATGCATGCATGCGTGCATGGGGCCACGAGCACGCACATGCTGCAAATGGGATGGGGCTAGTGCCTGCGTGATACTCACTAGCCCTGCCCTGTTCTTGCATGGTGCAGTGCCTTGTATCTGCACCCCATGGCATGGCCGTTTTTGCGCCTTGCAGCACGGTGGCCCATTTTTGCACCCCCGGTTTTTGCGTGCCAGAGGCGGCACTCAGAGGCGCCTCCCTGCCCCCCATGAGGGCACCACAATACTGATGCGACCCTGGCACTTTGCGATAAATAAGTGGCTTTTGGGTTGTGGTTTGGGCACTTGGTCTCTATATCACTGATATAGGTGGAGGAATGGAAGTCATATTCATTTGAACAAATAAATGTTTCTTATTTTTCATTAGTTTTCTTCCTTTCCCAGGCAGTCTTTTTTGCATGTTGTTATATCCCAGCTCTCACCAGAATAATGTTTTGGGTACACAGAAGGTTGCAGAGGGAAGGATGAGACTAGTATGTTCATTCCATGATCAGAATGAAAATTAGAGTCTAAGCCAGAATATGTGAATAGTAAATATACATTGATGAATATTTTTGAATTGTTTTCTTGAGTCCTGGCAATATTTATACCATACCAAAACATAGCAGTGGGGATAATTTTTTTTATTCTTGGTTTGTCCTTTCTCAAGGCACTCAGACTTATGGGCCGAATCATGCGTGAGTGCTGGTTCACCAATGGGGCAGCTCGACTGACAGCACTTCGCATTAAGAAGACAATTTCTCAACACTGTGGACAAAATTCCAAAGCTTAAATTTACACACCATGTAAAAATGGAACGGGAAAATGTATTTATGTCTTTGGTTTTTGTATTGTTTTTGATTTTGCTCTACCTCACACGATACTCAGAATAGTACTGCAAAGCCCAAATCCCAGAATACTAGAATGTAACTTCACCGGTTCTTCACATTTCATCAGAATTAACTTTTGGTTGCTGAGTGATGTGTGTCTTGTTTTGGCTCGTGTATGAAAAATGGTTTATTTTATGGGCATAATCTATGAACATGCTCCACAGTGTTGACATGATACTTCCTGCCACGGCCGCAGAAGCTCCTGAATCACAGAGAATGTAGGAGAAGTGAACATCAGTGAAAATTTATCACCCTAGCAGGTCTCTGTTCTTGTTTGTGTTGGTGGTATACATGAATGTAATACGCTAGAGGCTAGACCAAAAGTGGGCAACTTGTGAGCTAATTTTATCTCACCTTCCATCTAACTTCACTCTTATACAAAAACTGCTTCCCTTTTGGTGAAAACCGTCTCTTCATCTTCCTGGTATTAAAAGAGAGAGAGAGAGAGAGAAAGGTTGAAAATAAATTTCTTGACCTACTTCTGGTGGAACCCACTGCATTCTGGAAAGTTATCTCTGAAGGGGTGCAGCTTTTAAACAAAAGGTTATCTACTCTTCTAAGTAAACTCTGAGGATATTAAATGCATTTAACCTTTATTAAAATATATTGGCCACTGGCTTATTAAATATATATATATCTTGGAAATGACCAGCTTTTCAGTTCACTTCAAGAACTGAGAAGTGAACCCTAAGAACTCTTTAGATGCTGAGCCTGGAGACTTTCTGGAAGATATGGCTGACTGTAGGCTTTCCTCAGAAGATTTCCACAGGCTGTATCTTCAAGTCAACTAGATTTACTTGGTACTTTTTTTTTACTTTTTATTTTCAGCCAGCAACAGTGCCTGCCTTACTCTGTAGCAACTTGGGTGGAGGGAGGGGTTTACAAATATCTAGGAGTGTTTCCATCTTTTGTTCAGGAAGCCCCTAGAAAAAAATGAGCCCCCTTCCCATTGCTGGCATTACAAATCCCCCTTTCTAATGCCTTAAAGCAGTGATGGTGAACCTTTTAGAGACCGAGTGTCCCAAAACTGGCCCTGCCCCCGCTCCACCCCCTGCCCCGCCCCAGCTCTGCCCCCATCCCCTGCCCTGCCTGCCCACAGGACCACTCACCACTTCCAGAGCCCGCCACAGATCGCTCACGCAGCCCAGCAGCGCTATGGCAGCCACACCCTCTTCCCGCGCCCTGCAGCATCAACTGCATGATGGGGTGTGAGGGCAGAGTCTTGTCTACGCTGCCTGGCTGCCATGTCCTTGGCTGTGCTGCTCCGTGTGGGCCACGCTTGAGGGCAACTCTCCTTCAGGGGGTTGCTGGAGAGGAGGGAGTCTCAGGGGGTGGCAAGGCTGGGGCAATGACACGTGTGCCCACAGGGAGGGCTCCGAGTGTCGCCTCTAGCACCAGTGCCATAGGTTCGCCACCACTGCCTTAAAGAAACCATAGTATTTCATGACCAAAGAAAAAAGTGCAAGCACATACCCTTGACATTGCCAATGTAAAGAATCAGGAGGAGATGCTGCCAATCAGAGCTGATATGATTGGGCTAAATGAGCCAAAGGTTTGGCTTGTCTGCATTCCTAAGGAAGTAAGCAAGTGAGAAACTGAGACCAAACTATCAAGGCATTTTTCACAGAACTTTGTAGAATAGGTGGTGCGATATGTTTGTGTGTGTTTGTGTGTGTTTGTCTGTGTGTGCATATATGTATATGTGTAATGTATATTTGTATATATGCACACATGTGCATAGATTTTATTAATCAAATAAGACATTAAATAGAACATGCTTACTGTGAAAGTTGTTATATTATTAGTCACATAATAGACGATCATTTATTTAAAAACTTAACCGCCACATTAGAGTTAAATGTTGGAAATTCTATATGTTACGTGTCTGGTCTTCAAATTTCTGTCTGTGAACTAAATATTCTAAATCTAAAACTGTGTAAACACGACAGGATAAATCTGGAATGTCTTGTTTTGTGGTGCCAAAATTTAGAAGAAATTCACAATGTAATGTAAAATATGTGTAATGCTTACCCGACTCTTCACAAAGTGTGAGAGTGTTTGGCCAATATATATATCACTAAAAAACCTGAAGTCTAAAGGAATGTCAAATAATCACAAGTATCAGTATTAAACTTTTGTAAATTTGAAAAAAAAAACGGATGCATATATATTTTAATATGCCTTTGGGAAATCAAACTCATAAAGTATTGGATTTGGGAGAGTGGCAGGTCCCTCCCTTTCTCTGTTTTTTTTTTTCAGGCCCCATTTTTAAAGCAATATATTCTGTCTCCTAGGTAGAAATCAAAGCAGAGCTATCTAGGCAGCAGGAACAGTTCTTGAGTTGTGGAGATGCAGCTTTGATGCTTATTCTACAACCAGAGTTGGCTAGACGTGCCTTTTTTTTTGTAAGCTAATTGTGGTTAAGATCTTCTCATGCAACCTGTGTTTTCCCATATGACCAAAGCTGGCCATGTAGAAAGATAACATGAGAACCATAATTCTCATATGTACCTGTGGTTCACATGGATCCAATGTGGCATGGGATTGCCAAATTTAAGGTTATGGTTTGCAAGTGAATTATTCCACTTCATAAACAGAGGAAAGTAATAAGACCAAACTGTTGCTGGTATTTCTGGTTGCAACCGTCTCTGTACATGACAGAGAGGGCGAACTGTTTCCACTCAGCCCCCCATGATATATTCAGTCTGAAATCCCAAATGGTGAGTCTCCAAATTTCTAGGAAAAAAACCCAGCTGTAGCTTAGAGATATAGCACATATTTTGTATGGAAGAAGCCCCAAATTCTAGGGTGGGGCTAGAAAGAGTTTTATCAGGGAACAAAACGCTACCCTGAGGATGAAAACAGTTATCACTTTATTTTGTTATTTTTCTGTCTTAGAGGAATCAAGCCAGCCATCTCAGGGATGTTCGTATTAATTTGGGGGTCTTAAAATGCAAATAAGTAGGTTGACTTCTATCTTTAAAAAAAATCTAAAATCTGTATGCATCCCTAAGCCAAGATTTCATCAGTGTAGTCAACCCTGAAAACAGGATTTTCGTTGATACTGACTCTTGTGATGTGAATATAACCTGTGCCAATACAATAGTAAACAGAGATTTACAAGTTGCCTATTGTCATCTTCACCAGTATGACAATCATTATTTTAGCTTAACCTAGTTTTTAGCATAATGCTTGAGCTTTTGAAGGAAATGCACAGGTAACAACAGCTCCTAGCTAACTTGGGCTGAATTCCTTACCTAAGCAAGATCAGCCCTGGTTAGCATTTGATCTGGAGCCAATTCCAGGCTGTAGCTAGACCATGAAATCAGAATACATCCCTCCCAAGAGAAAGCAGTGGCAAACTAATGCTGTAATACTAATACCAAGAAAACAGTGTGGATGTAGTTACTAGTAATCACTCAATTCAAGGGCCTTTAATTGTTTAAATTAGGCATTAATGATATTTATGCTGATGTTTAAACAACTGAATACATGTAAGAAGTATGTGTCACATATTCACGCATAGTGGTTGATAATATTCCTTGTGTTTTAATTTGAATTGTCATCTAAATGCCTGTGTTTGATCATCTCTAAATGGTACATTTCTATACACAAGAATCATTTGATGCTACGCTTCAAAACTGATAAACAAGCAAAAGTATGAACTGAGTCACCAATGATGACTTTTTTAGACATAGAAGTAGTATTCCTAGATTTTCTGTAATGTCACCCTTCTATTTGTCATTTTACCATTATGCTTACATTTTAAAATTAGAATAACATTCTGTTGCTGAAATTGATATTGTTATGTGAAAATAACAAGAGTGAGAAATGACTTGCATGTGACAATTGTTGCTCATATTCTTTGTTCTCTAAGGACTGATGATAAAGCCTGAACTCTATAAAGTGTGCAATTCTCACATGAATAATTACCATAATTGCTTTACAGTTAACAGAATGCTGCCACAAATAGGGAGTTTGTGTGTTAAAATATTTTGTTATGGATAAGCTTGTGTTTTTCTTACTTGTGTGAAGTAATCCAAAAGAATCAAGCACTTCCCATTCCTTACAGGCACCACAAGTTTATGGCTTAGGCAGAAAATAAGTATTAAATGCATAAAATAGTACTATTAAATGTGATGAAAGTGCAATAGATTAAATCTGAAGAAAATATGTGTAACTGAGTTGTGTAAATTTATATAGGAAGAAATAAGTTCAAATGACGGCTGATGGAGCAGAGCTTCATTCTAGAAAGGGAAGATGTAAATTTTTAATTGCAAATGCCTATAAAGAATATGTGTCAAGAATAGATTTCTCTTAAACTATCTTTAAATAAAATTATGGAACTGAATGGTGAAATAAGTTTTCATACCATACTTCCTTTAACCTAGTATATATGTCACAAGAAATATTTATTTTTTAAACAAATAGCTTTAGTATTGCTGCTGCTGCCTCTAGCTGTAAATAATATGTCTGTTGTATTTTTGTATACTACTTTTTGCCTCTCAAAGCATATTTTTAAAGTGTCAATTTTACAATTTTAATTTTTCTTTGCTGTTTGTTTTTGTGATGCATAATTTCTTATAAATAATAAAAAATGAATGTCTGAGAAATGTATCTGATTTGCTGCTGACACATTCAAGCACAAATAATTAAAACATAAGGAGCAATTCCAGCCAAGAATTCAGACTTTTTTTCCCAGTAAAAACAAAAGTTATCTTTTTATTACTTTTTAATTAAGAAAAAAAAAAGAGCAAAACACAAAAATAATGGTGATATATCCATTTATCTTTCCAATGCTACAAAGATCAGCCTTTTAATTGTAGTAAGGACACAAAGAATCCATTTAAGTTGAAGATTGTTAAATTCCACATACTAGGTATATCATTCAAAAGAATATTATCCTCTGAGTATCTTAGCTTTTGTTGCACAATCATATTTATATAATCCATTACTTTCTCCCCAAATTTGCTAAGTATAGCACATTGTAATAACATTTTAAAGAAGCATTGTCCTTGTTACATCTCCAACAAAATGCTGGTTTTGACAGTCCTTTTCTATATAAACATAATGAAATTCAGTGAATTCTAAATATTTTTTGTTGTATCTGTAATCTGAAGTCCTTTGATGTGTTTGCTATAGAAGTTAAGACATTGTCTAGGCAATACAGGAACCTCTAATTCAGTGTTTCTCAACCTTGACAATTTTAAGGCATGTGGACTTCAACTCCCAGAATTCCACAGCCAGCAATGCTGGCTGTGGAATTCTGGGAGTTGAAGTCCACATGCCTTAAAATTGTCAAGGTTGAGAAACACTGC